TTTTGCTCGTCTCTCTCGCTGCTGCTACCGCTCGCTACCGGATAGTAGAGCTCGGCCCCGCTGCTACAGACCAAAGCATCAAACTCGAGCACCGAGACTCCGACCGCCTTGAGCCCGAGCTGGACCTCGGACGCCGTGAGCGACGTGGATATCACTAGCCCGGTCTCGCTCTTGCCACCATAGCTCCTCCCCGCAATCACCACGTCCCGGACGAGCTCGTGGCTCCGGAGGTTGTCCACCGCGAGGACCAGGAGATTTTTCCTTCTTCTCAGCAAAGGCCACCTAGTAGTAGCAGCAGCAGCAGCAGTAGTAATCGTGCCAAGCTCGCTGCTCTTGGCTTCCTCCGGGACGTCGCTAGCGTTCTTCTTGTGAGACTGCGCGTACTTCTCCACGAATCTCTTGATGTCTTCCACGGTGATGCTGCTCTTGCCATTGGTGACGCTCCCGTAGCTCTGGAACCTCTCGCCATCGACGGAGAGGCGGAGGGAGATTTCCTGGGAGTCGTGGAGGGACGAGTCGAGCTCCACCTCGTTGGAGTAACTGTCCTCAGTGCTCCACTCCGGGTGCCTCGTCCGGCATGAGACTATCCGGGAGAGATAAGTTCGGCAGTGCTCCGGCCACGAGTAGACGTTGATGTTCTTGAGGCCGTTTCTCTGGCATTCCAGCCACAGGCCCCTGTCTGCTAGCAGCTTGAGGAGTGCCTCCGCGATGGCCTTGTCGTCGTGGGGATCAACCAAGAGACCATTGTGCAGTGCCTGGAAGAACGGATAGAAAACTTCGCTAGAGGAGTTAAAAATGTGAAGTTTACCTGTTGTATATCAACTGGGCCACCATTTGAAGTGGCCACCATTGGCAATCCATGAGCAGCTGCCTGTATAGATAAAGAAAAAGAAAACTAGAACTTACGAAACAAAAAGTGAGAAGAAACTGTTACCTCGATTAAAGTTAAGCCAAAAGGCTCGACCAAAGCTGGATTGATAAACACTCCCTGGACCACAATAGTATTATTTATGCTAGAACAGGAAGAGAGAGAGCACCTTCGTCTTTGCTGCAAGCTGATATATTGCGGGAACTTCATACTGTTTGTGATGTTTGGGATACGAGACTTGGCCATGAAGATCGTACTTGTCAATGAGCTTCAAAACAGTGGTCAAAACACTTGCATTGGCCGCAGACATGTCATCGATATCATCCCTGTTCCCCATGATCAGCGTCTGGAAAAACAAAGATACAATAGGATAAAAAAGTAGAAAGATAGTATTACCAAGTTCGCGAGATCTCTCAACAACATGCACTCTCCATAAGCTTTTAGGAGAGTGGTGATATTTTTCTTTGGATCCGGACGAGCGAGCGCCAGGATCATTGGCTTGTGAGGATTGTGCAGGAAGCGCATGATCTGTACAGTACAAAAAAAGTTGACGTGAAGTTCCTCCAACCGAAGAGAAAGAAAACTTAAATCCCTCACATCTCCCCAGATTGGAGGATCCATCTTTGGCGACGTTGGCAACGAGACAGTGTTGCCATGAATCTCATTCGCTATAGCAGCAGTCTCAGAATCAAGAACTACATTGCTAAAATCCATTCCTGGAGGAATAACCTGTAAGTTCAAGCTTAGTTCAAGAACAAAGAACGAAGAACACACGATAGAACTTACCACCATGCGAGGCATGAACCGGCCATGGCAATTCAGTCCCTTCTTCGCTCTGATCTTGAGAACTCTGTCCACCTTCACGTCATAGCCAAAGTAGTAATCCCCCCACTGCTCCACAACTTCCTGCTTGGTGCTCGTGATAACAAGCTCAGCCACGTCCAAACACGTCTCCTCGGCCTCGATGCGCCGGAAGATCTTGTAAGTCGAGTTCACGTCCTCCCTCGACTGCCTCCCCTGGACGAGGAGCTGCTCGAGCTTGTTTCGTCCCAACGAGTGTCCCGTCATGACCATCGGAACGTTTAGAGCCCCGGAGATCAAAGCAGCGGCGTAGCCAGCGTCGGCATAGTGTCCGTGAACTACCTGAGGCCAGACCAGCTCCCTGGACGCTGCCGGCGGAGTGGTACCATTGGTGTTACCATGGTAAAGATGGTGGTGAAGCTGGTCTGCGAGAACTTTGGCCATGTCTTTGATGTGAGCGAGCGCTCCATCGACGAACTCCTCGATGTGAGGCCAGAGGAGCTCCTTGCGGAGGTACTGCTCCCTCGGACCACAGGGAATCCGGACGATATACGCACCGCTGCTCTCGCCACCCGTGCAGCACAGCATCTCAGTCGGCTCACAGTAGCTCCAGTCCACCTCGTCCGTGGCGCATATCTGGCGTGTCAAGAGGTCCACGCGGTACACCCCCGGCATCGCAGCCAGCGATTTTGCGAGCTCCACTACGTACTTGACCTGCGAGAAACAAAGCGTGGCGAGCACGGTAGCGTGAGAAAGCCAAAGAACTTTTAAGGAGAAAGGAGTGGAAGAGCAAGCTCGGAAGGAAGCAAACGATCTCTCATTCATTCATGCTCGCCAAGAAACCAGGGACAGAGACAAAGGCGAGCTCATGCCAGACAAAGCTTGTATTACTTCTGTGCTTTGGCCACAGACACATTGAACGGCTCTTTGTTGTTTAGCGAGCAAGCAATCAAGGATTTGCAAAGCGATCAATCCAAGCGTGCAAAGGCAGTTTAAAGCTCTCACGGGGATCATCAAGGATCATCAAAGACGAAAGCAAACAAAGAAGAGCTGCAGGAAGAACGAAGAACAAAAGAACAAAGAAGTTTCTTGTTACCTGTCCACCGGTATCGGAGTCTCGTCCCAGCTCCATATTCTCGCCACGAACGAGGCCATGCAAGCTGCAATGGGAGAAAGTTTAGAGAACTTTTGCGCAATCCAAGAATGAAACGAAAACGAGAGGAGAGAACTTCGTGAATTTTTCTAAGGGCGATCGAAAAAGCACAAGAAACTTCACGAAGAACTAGGAGGAGGAAGAACAAAGATGGAGAACAAAAGATATACCTGATCAAGACGATGTACATGTTTCTTCCTCGCTCTTGATCGCTCCAGCTGTGGAGCACCGAGAGGTTTCTAAGCATGGATTTCTTCTTGGTTCCACTGCCGGACGAGGACGACGAGTTTGCCTCGGCAAGCTCGAGCTTCTCGCCGTCGGAGAGATCCTCGAGCAGCTCCTCCTCGGCATCGCGTTGCCCTCTTTCTCGCGCCGCTCGCCCCTGCGCCCGCTCGCTCTCGATCCTCTTCCACTTCCTCCGCTCGAACCAGATCCGCCAGCACAGATTCTCCAGCCGGACGCTCTGGATCTTATCATTCCTCCTGACCGTCGCCTAGCAATCAAGAACAACAAAGAACAAAAGAAAAAAAAAACAAGAAAAAAGCAAAGAAACAAACGATCAGCTCAGCAGCATGGAAAACCAATCGCCCAATTGCCGCAGAATCCGCGACCCAACTCGCTCGCGAATCGAATGATCGCGACCCCAGACGACGATCGCCAGGGATTCGGCGACCCAACACCGCGATCATCAAGAAACAAGAGCAAAACAAAAAAAGGAAGATCAAAGAAAGATCACCTTGGCCCAAGATTGATGGATGTCGCGCTCCTCGAATTTGCTCACGACCTCCTCCACGAAGTAGCGAGACACCCTCCACACCTGGCGCGTCTCCTCCGCCCCAACCCTGTTCTTGGGCGACGATCGAGACGATGGAGCGCAATTCCTGTGGACATCGCTGCCAATCTCTAGGAATGCATTGAGGTAGCCATCGATCCATTCGTTCCCTTCCATTGGAGGAGCTGGAGCGCGGCACCTCCACCCCTGATTTTCAAAGAAATGGGCTTCCCTCCTTATTCCCCAGGTGGAGGTTTTTTTCTCCTCCTCCCTTTCCCATTATAAAACCCCTGCCACCTCTAATTAATTTTAGGTTAACATGATGGGAATATTCGGGTTTTCTTAGCTCCAAAATTAAAAGAGAGAGAAGAGCTAATATATCAAAATGTAATGATGGAGATATTTTCAATAATGCAAGAACATCCGCGCATTCTTATAATTGTGGGTTCTTTTTTCTTTTCTTTTTTTTCCTCCTTTGGTCTCGATTCGATTGCAAAAGTGCATGGTCTCGTGAATTTTTGCAGTGTTGTGTGATTCTTTGGGAAATTATTTTTCCAAAGTAGAGAGATTCGGGCACCTCAATCACGCAAAAGCTCACGGGCTGATTCAGAAGATATCAATCTCTTTCTCTCTCTCTCTCTCTAGTGTGTTTGCGTCTGTGTGTCTCTTTGTGAGACACGTCCCTTGATCAAATGGTTGTCTGCTTGAATCAAACCTTGAGTTGGGCAGCCTCAAGACAAAAGATATATGTATATGGTGAAGAATGTGAAAGTTACACCAATATGAGTGTGTGTGTGTGTGTGAGAGAGAGATATGATCAGGACAATTATAGAGCCCACGTAAGGTTCTTTCTCTCGTTGTTGCAGTTCATTCCATTTAATTTCATATATAGTCCAAGCAGACCAACTCCCAAACGATCCAACCGTCCACACGGGCCTTTCTTGTGAATTGTGAAGAGATAACTACCAACTGCTTGCAATCCCTCACTGTCCACAAATTATGAGGAAAATTTCTATTTTCTTTTAGAATGTTTCTATTATTATTTGAAGAAAAAGGACGAGAAAATAAATGTGGTCATGCAGATGGGGAGGTGTTTCTTACTCTTGCGTTTCTGACTCGCCACAGCAGCAACAGCAGACCCACCTGTTGACAAAACAATACAAATGCGAAACCGAAAGGATTTTCTGTCGTTTGGGGGCTGGAAACGTATAATGGGGGTTGGTTTTTGGGCAAGAGAACGTGGAAGGCGGGGATAGCTCAGTTGGGAGAGCGTCAGACTGAAGATCTGAAGGTCGCGTGTTCGATCCACGCTCACCGCATTTCATTTTCTTTTTCATATGCGCATATTCTTTTTGGGGGTTTTAGCGAGATTTTAGGGTTTATGGGTGCGAGCGGGACGAGGACGAGGAGGGATCCATGCATGGCGCCGGGAGCCGCATTCGCCGCCTCCACAGTGGCGACGCCATCGTCTGCCGCCTGATCCAGGTCCGCCACGGCAAAGGTACCAAATGGCCGCTCGAGTACTCGCGCAAGAAGTGGTTCTTGGGGCCGCCCAAGCTCCCGCCCGAGATTGTCGAGTGGCACGAACAGGTGAAGCAGGCGGAGATGGATCGGATCGAAGCCACGCGCCCGGACGTCGTCCCGCCCCAGCCCCGGATCCGGGGCTCCTCCCACATTGCCGTGACGCTCCCCAGGGTCCACGCCCTCAAGAAAAAAAGAGGATTGGCAGCCAGGAGAGAGGAAGACGAAGAAATAGCGGAAGAACAAGAGAAGAAGATGGAAGACAAAGAAGAAGAGGATGGAGAGTGCGAAGAAGAGAGGAGGCGGAAGGATGAGAAGCTCATGGACGAGCTTGTGGACTACTACAGGGAGTGTGCCGAGTGCGGGATCGTCCCGGAGAAATCCATGGGAGTGAAGATGGCTTTCAAGGACTACGCCTATCTTTTCCTCCAGGCCGGGGAGGACCGCGATATAGTTCGAGGAAAATGGGGGCACGCTCACGCGCTCTCTCACGGCCATCGCTCCAACCGGTACCTCGGCAATTGCCTCATGATAATGTACAACCGGTGCGGCTACGTCCACGAGGCCCAGAAGATCTTCGACGACATCGTCTGGAAGAACGTCTTTACGTGGACTGTTTTGATGAAGGGGTACGCCGACTTTGGCGAGTTCGAGCGCTCGGTGGCGCTCTTCCGGGAGATGCTGGCTCGCGGCGAGCCTGCCAACGAGTATACTTTCAGCTGCGCGCTCACTTGCCTCGGTGCTCTGAGGATGCTGGAGCAGGGAAGGGTGGTGGACGGGATCGCGAGGGAGATGAGCTTCTCGTCCCGGATCACGGCCGGGAACGCGCTGATAAGTATGTATGGAAAGTGTGGATCCATTCCCGACGCTAAGAACGTTTTTGATTCCATGCAGGAGAGGAACGTCGTGACATGGAACGCTCTCATCGCGGCCTACGCGCAGAACGGTCTCTACAGGGAGATCGAGTGGCTTCTCCCGGCTATGGAGGTTGACGGCGTGAGGCCGAACAAGATCAGCTTCATGGGGATCTCGCTGGCCGTGCCGAGCTTTCGGGATGCTTTTGTGTCGGCCAGGCAGGTCCACAAGAGGATGTTTGATCTCGGGCTCGACCTGGTCGGCTACACGGCGCTGGTGAAGATGTACGGGAGGTGTGGTCAGGTCGAGGATGCGGAGGTAGTCTTTGAGGGGATACCGTGGAAGGACGTAGTGGCTTGGACAGCGATGGTGACGAGTTTTGCACAGAATGGGTTTAGTGACAGGGCCTTCAAGTGCTACCGAAGAATGCAGCTCGAGGGAAGGGTACCAAACAAGATAACTTTGCTCGGGATTGTGGATGCGTGCGACAGTGCTCACAGGTGCAGGGAAATCCGGTCACGCATGGAAGGAGCTCCGTTTGAGTCGGATACTTCGGTGAAGAATGCGCTGCTAAGCCGGTTTGGAAGGCTAGGCAGCATTGACGACGCTAGAGATGTCTTTAAGAGCATTGGCAAGAGGAACCTTGTGTCCTGGAACGCGATGATCTTCGCGCTGGTGCAGCACCAAAAGTTCGAAGAGGTTCTCGATGCTTACAGGCAATTGCAACTTGACGGGGAAAAGGCTGACAGGATTAGTTTCATCGGAGTTCTTGACGGCTGTGCGATGCTGGAGGACTTGGTCGAAGGAAAGAAAGCTCACAGGCATGTTTTGGAGAAGGGACTTTCGAAAGACAGGATGATTCGTAATGCGCTGGTCAACATGTATGGGAGGTGTTCCAGAGTGGAGAAAGCTCGGCAAGTGTTTGAGAAGATAGAAGAGAAAGACATCGTTTCCTGGAACGCACTTGCCTCGGCCGCAGCGAGACACCAGCTACATGACGAGGTTTTGGAGCTGCTCAGGGAAATGGATCTGGAAGGTGTCAAAGCGGACAGCATCACTTTCATTGCTGTGGTCGTGGCGTGTGGAAGTTTACGTGCTTTACGTGAAGGGACAGAAGTTCACGGGAGGATTTACGCTGCAGGACTCTTGAATGATTCGGAGAAGAGCCGCAAGCTCAAGACGGCTCTGGTGGACATGTATGGGAAGTGTGGAAATGTGGAGGCTGCAAAGGAGGTATTTTCCAGCATTCGGGGAAGGGACGACATTCCATGGACTGCTATGATGTCGGCTTCGGTTGGAAACACGGTAGAAACCTTGAGGTTACTCCAGGAAATGGATTTGGAAGGGGTCAAGCCGAGTAGCATCGCGTATGCGGTTCTTCTCGATGCATTCACAGGTCCGTTTGCTCTGGGCGATGGAGAAAGGATCCATGCACGGATCAGCGAGAGCTGGCTTCACAAGAACGCTCTTTTAAGCATCTCCCTTGTCAATATGTACGCAAGGTGTGGATGCTTGGAGCAGGCCAGAAAGGTGTTTGAGCAGCAGGGCGACGATCTTGACAGTGTGGTCTTGTGGAACAGCATGCTGGCAGCTTTTATCAGTCAGGGCCACGGCTACGATGCCCTCGAGCTCTCGCTGAGAATGGACTTAGAAGGTGTAAAGCCGAGCGAGACCACTTTCGTCGCCTTGCTCGAAGCCTGTAGCTTGGTCACGGACAGACAACGGGGTGACAAGCTCTATCGCCGGTTTAGACGCAGTGGTTTCGCTCCCAACGTCATCGTCGACACGGCTCTTGTCAACTTACACTCGATTTCCGGCGGTAGCCTGGAAGATATCCGGACCTTTTTCGACAAGATGAAAGTCAAGACACAAGTATCGTGGAGCTCCATGATCTCGGCCTATGCGCGAAGAGGCCTTTCCGACGAGGCGCTGGAGCTGCTTGGAAGCATGATCCAGCTCGGGCTGGACCCGGACGGAGTTACTTTCATCAGCTTGCTCTCCGGTTGCAGCTATGGAGGACTGGTGGGCGAAGCTTGCCAGTGTTTCTACTCGCTGGAGCACGACCATGGATTAAAACCGGGAGTGGAGCACCACCGGATAATAGTGGACGTTTTGGGACGAGCAGGCTGGCTCGATGAAGCCGAAAAGATGGCTGGAATGGCGAGCGACGAGAAAAATATCGAGGGTGGCACTGGTGCATGGACGAGCCTCTTAAGTTCGTGTAGAAACTTTGGAGACTCCGAGAGAGGCGCTCGAGCAGCGGCGGCGGCCTCGCAGCGGGAACCGGGCAGACCATCGTCTTATTTGATCCTCTCGAGTATCTACGCCGAAGAAGCCGCCGCTCGCGAGAGTGCTAGTTTCCTGGCTGGGAATGATCCGTCGAGCTGGGGTGCCGCGTGTGGGGAGATCACTCCAGTGGAGGACGATGAGGACGAGCTGATTAGCATCTCCAAGCTCGCTCGAATGGGTCCTCGGCGGCCAGGGAAGCCCGACGGTCTGGACGCTTGAGGAGGAAAAAGAAGCAAACTACTATTTCCCTCCAAAAAGGAGGAAAACTTTCTGCTAGGTTGGGGCCAAGGTGGGATTTTGGAGTCGCCCTCTTGGATTTTGGGAGTAGCTTGTGCGATCTTTGGCGGCTGGGATGAAGGTTTTGGCTTCCGAGCAAGGTGGGTCTGTTTCTTGCTTCCAGGGCTCGGCATTGTTGAGTTTACAAACGAGTTTTTCGCAGACTGGCAGATTGTGGACGACGATGGGTTTGTGTACAAGCGAGCGAGACGGGAGGAGGCGGCGGCCATAGAGAAAGTTACAGAAAATGAAGAAGAGGAAGAAGAAGAAGAAGAGGAAGACGAACTAGACGTTGTGAGTCCAGAGGAACTGCTGGCACAACGGCGAGAACTTCTACTCAAGAAGAAAGAAATGTAAGTTTTCTTTTTTCTCGCGTTTCATGAGATGTCTCGCACAGGTACGCTACAGAGCTCAGGCTCTGGGACGAACTCCTCTCGAGACAAGAAGAGATAAACGCCGCCACACTTCCTCCATCTCTTCCTTCGGCGGTGACGGACTCTCCGGCCATCATGCTCGGGGAGCCTCACTACGAACCATACGAAGAACTCTTGCAAGAGGTGTGTTGTGTGTAGATATTTCTTTTCTGGTAGCACTCCTAACGATTTCGCTTCGTCTCCAAGATCCAAGATCTAGAGTTTTTCATCCAAAAGTACACGAGCTTCTGCGAGAGAGCCGAGGACATGGTGATGCTGCTCAACGAGAAGATCAAAAACCACAGGTTGCAGCAGCTGCGCAGCCCTCGCCAGATCTTCCTGGAAACGACGACCAGCGCTGACTAAAACGCTCGCCGATCCGACGGGTGGCACCCGGCCTTGTGACGGACGGCTCACACTAAATATACCAATCGCATATGCCCCCGCCAATTCAAAAAAGCGAGGGCTTGAGGGGCGCGACTTTTAGCACTCCAAAACCCCTGTGGTGGGGGCCGAGAGGAGGAAGAAGCCATGGATTCACGGATCACTCCCACCGATCAGTTGCAAACAAATTGGGAGCTGAGGCTGTGACGCGATTAGGATCAAAGAGGAGAGGAATCGAGATCACGCACCAAGGAAAGAGCCCAGAAGAGCGAGCACACCAGTCTAATCAACCGGATCAAAGAGACAAGGAAGATCTAGCTCCATCCAGCAATGCCTCGCCGACGAGAACGCACGCCCGGCCCGGGCGCCTACAACCAAGACCACCGCCCCATCACGCCCTCCTCGCCGGCATTCACCATCGCCGGCAAGCGCACTGGCTCCCTCTACAACGACAGCCCCGGCCCGGGGACATACACACCCGGCCGACAATACGGCGCCCCGGCATTCACCATCCCCGGCCGCTACTCCGGCCCCTCCGACAACGAGAACCCCGGTCCCGGATCCTACGACACCGACTCCAACTTCCTCTACAAGCGCGAGCCGGCCTACACCATCTCCTCCCGCAACCTGGGCAGCCACCGCGACATGAGCCCCGGCCCCGGACAGTACAACGTCCCGCGCGGGGAACACGGCCCTGCCTTCAGCATTGCCGGCAAGCGCTCCCCGCGGGCGGGGGAACGGTCCCCCGGCCCGGGGGCATACACCGCCGGCGACACCCGCCCGCGCAGCCCGGCCTACACCATCGCGGGGAAGTCGTCGCGTGTCGGCGGGGAGCAGACACCCGGGCCGGGGGCATATACCCCCGGCCCGGTGTCCAGGGGACCGGCCTTCACCATGCCGTTCCGGCGGGACTGGAAGCCCGGTGACCAGGGCCCTGGGCCCGGGCAGTACGAGTTTGAGACCGGGATCAAGGCCACCACCAAGAGGATGCCGGCCTTCTCGATCGCTAGCAAGAGGGACTCGCGGATCTCGGAGCCGGGGCCGGGGCCCGGGACTTACACGCCGAGGACGAGGATCGCGCTGGACGCGCCGCCGGCCTACAGCATCGCCGGGAGGAGGGAGGTGAAGAACTTACACCCCACTCCCGGGCCTGGATCTTACAATGCCGACGAGAGGCTCCACAGCCCGGCCTTCACCATCGCCGGGAAGAGGCCCAAGGGGCTCGGGGACAGCAACCCCGGGCCGGGAGCTTACACGCCGCGAGATATGTACAGCCCGCCGGCGTTTTCCATGGCGAGGAGGAGGCAGGACGGGCTGACGAGCCACACCCCCGGCCCGGCTCACTACCAGCCCAACGATTGCCTGTACAATGTGAGCAAGAAGCCGCCAGCTTTCTCAATGGGGATGAGGTACCTGAGGAGCGCCGGGGACGAGAGCCCCGGGCCGGGGTCGTATCGGTTGACAAAGTTGGACCGGGGACCGGCGTTTGGGATGGGCAAGGCCGAGAGGTTCGACGAGGACTGATCAAGGCGGTGGTGCTGTTTTGGCAACGTAAGCTCTGTTAACAAAAGGTTGGTTTTGATGAAAGAAACTTGCAAAAAAGAAAGCTCACCTCCTCCTGTGCTGCATTGCTCATTCAAGTTTGTTCCTCGGATCGGTTTCTCTCAAGCAGGCCAACGGAATGGAGGTTGTAGTCCGTCGACTGGGATGATCGTTGTTCTTGGTAGCTCCCTCGGTGAGACAAACAAAAGTTTTAGTTCTTTACACCTTCTAGCAGCCTGAGCGCAACCACGTGTCCGCGCCACTTGTCAAGAGCACAACCACATTATACTTGCTCAAATCGCCTGAGAGAACAAGTTTTAGCATTGCAAGAAAGAAAGAAATAAAGATGGGATCCTCACCAGCGGTTTCCAATGCCGTGTTCAAGGAGATTTCTCGCAGAGCCGTCCCCATCTCCCTCCACAATCCAGCTCGTGATCTTGCGCCTCTCATCGAACGCATCGCCAAGGCCAAGGTGGTGATGCTCGGCGAGGCCACGCACGGGACGCGCGAGTTCTACGAGTGGCGTCGCATCATCTCCGAGATCCTCATTGCCAACCACGGCTTCACCACCCTCAGCATCGAAGGCGACTGGCCACCGTGCCAAGAAGTCAACCGCTTCATCACCAAAAAGGTGAGTTCTTCCGCTAGTGCCGAGGAGCTCCTTGCAAAGTCATTCAGGCGATGGCCGACTTGGATGTGGGCCAACGACGAGTTCCGGGCGATGGTGGAGTGGATGAAGGAGTTCAACAGCACCCGACTGGACCGTGAGTCTCAGGTTCGTCTCTTCGGTCTGGATGTCTACTCGCTGTTCGACTCCATCGCGATTGTTCTGGACGAAGTGGCCAAGATTGACCCCGCTCTAGCTGAGAAAGCTAAGCATCACTACGCATGTTTCGATCCCTTCGAGGCAAACGAGGAAGAGTACCTGCAGTCCTTGGTGGAGTTCCCGGAGGGATGCCAGGCCGAAGCTCTCAGAGTTCTCAAGGATCTTCTGAAGAAGAGGATCGACGAAGAGACGGCAGCAGCGGATGGCGATGTCGTGTTTGATGCGCAACAAAACGCCAGGATCGTCCGGAACGCCGAGAGTTACTATCGGGCAATGGTGTATGGAAATGAGGACTCGTGGAACGTCCGCGAGAGCCACATGATGGAGACACTGGACCTGCTGCTGAAGACGAGGCCTCACAACAAGCTCATTGTCTGGGCTCACAACACCCACATCGGAGACTACCGCGCCACCAACATGCGTAAGATGGGCCAGGTACTCGAGTTCTTTTTCTTCTCGTCACCTTTCAGCTTCCGACTTCCAGGTGAACATCGGCGGCCTGGTTCGTGAGAAATACGGTGAAAGTCAGGTAGCACTCGTAGGATTCGGTACCTTTAAAGGCTCGGTCATTGCTTCGTCCAAGTGGGCTGGTCCCATCCTGCAACTTCGTGTTCCGGAGGGCCGAGATGGCAGCTACGAGATGATAATCCGCGAGGCGGCTCAGCAGGAGAAAATTCCCGGCGACGCTTTCTACCTCCTGCTTGACGATTCGGAGGCAAGAAAAGTCCAGCACTGTCTATCAGAATGGAGAGGCCAGAGGGCCATAGGCGTGGTATATGATCCAAAGAAAGAAAAGTGGGGAAATTACGTACCAACAATGTTGGCAAAGAGGTACGATGCTTTCATCTATATTCACGAGACCAAGGCGTTGAGGCCCCTTGGTGTGACGCCTGACCTTCACGTGCTTCCTGAAACTTATCCGAGTGGTCAGTAGAATGAGAATTCTGAAAAAACGCAAAACAGGAGTGTGTGTATTTAACAAAAGCTTGTCTTCGAGGTTTTTCCATACCGTGAAATGGAGTTCTCTCTTTTTTTGCTACACATACCCGTGTCAGTTTCTATGCTTTTCTCTACTTTCTTATGCGCTTCGCCTCTGTCTAATAAGACCAGGGATCTGCCAAGCTCCGGTTAGATAAATGGTTTTCATCGGAAAAAGGCTTACATCAATACCGTGCGCACCGATGCGGTTTCGAGCAACAAATGTAAGTACAAGAGACGAAAATTCTTCGGGCACGTCTTCCTGTTCAAGAATGTTCCAATCAACAAACTATAGAGCAGAAAACAAAAGAATGTTTTTACCTGTATCGCGTGACCAGTGTGACGGACTACAATCATTTGAAACTTGCCTTGCATTTGTCCAATGGTAAGGGATCTGAAGCAATTATACGTTTGAGTGACATCGAAAGCAACTTCAAACATGCATACTTATCCAAACGGTCTGTTCCAGCCAGCAAGAGAACTTTTGCGACTGGTGCCGACAGAAAAATATCCGACAAACCTTCATACCTGCAAAGTAAAATAATCTCTTCAAAAATGGAAACAGTGTTTGTGCAAAAATGCAAATACCAGCCTCTCCAATGTCGTTCACTCTTTTCCAACGGTGTAAGCCACACGTAACTGCAGGCAGAATAGATTGAACTGAAGCAAAAGAAAAAGCAAAAAAATAAATAAAAAATGAAACCGACCATTTTCTTTCTTCATTGTATTTCAATGTTGGGGGGATCGAGACTCGAGCTGAGTCGATGTTCCTAAGCGAACCTCCTTTCACATTCCATTCTATCTGAACAAGCAAGTAAGGTATGATTTTACACTGGCCTTTTAGCTTACAGCTTTTTCAACACTGGGAAATGCTGGCGGACGGTTGGACAATAGTTTTTGCATATGTATCAAAGAAGCTATAGCTGTACCCTGGACAAAGGAAATTATGAAGCTGGTATACAAGTTTTATCTCTTCTTACCTCTACGACATCGACGACAATAAGCCCGGCCAGCGTTCGAAGAACTCTTTTTGCAGCAACCCGAGTAGCAATCGCACCCCCCATGCTGGTAAAAAAAAACCAATTTAATAAATATCTCCGTAGCACTAGCAGCAAACCTGTGTCCGATTAACACAATAGATGGTGGATCGTTTTTGTACATGGTCCTGATAACGTCGAGAACATCTTGGCATAAAGTCTGTGGAGGAACTTTTAGAAATAATATTGTCATGAAGATCCTACCTCGGCAGATAAATCTAAGTCATCACTTGTGCGTGTCGAGCCATGACCTCGCATATCCATCGCAGCAACCTTGACTTTCTCTTTTAACATTCTTGCGGACAGCGCAAAAGATAGCCTGTAGGAAGAAAATCACAAGAGAAATCTAGAGAATTCATCGATGCTAAAGTTACCCGGAGGATCCGCCTCCGTGCAAACAAAAAAGAACCGGTCCTTGTGTGCCCGCCAAGTAGACGTGAAAACTCTGTAGCAAATGCGAGGTCAAAAACAGGAAGAAAAAGAAACGAAGACGCGGCTCACATCTTGACCGATTTCAACATCTAGTTCCTCGTCGAAGTAATCTGTCCAAGGCAGAGCTCCAAATTTGCTCCTGGAGCTCCTGGGAAAGCAAATATTTGAGCCGAGAAAGCAAGCCAAAATCTCTCCACTTACCCCCAGGTTGGAATGCCGCTCGTCCCAGCACCGCCAGGCGATTGATCTTCCTCCCCGATCACTGGCGCCATCGCTGCGGCATCGGCCATTCTCCAAAAACCCTAGAGATTTAATTGTAGAAGAAACAGAGTTCGAATCCCTTGAAGAAAGTGATCATATAAACGCACCGTCGGATGAAACAAATCGACGGACGTGATTTGACCGTTATGATGCGCAATAGGGCTTGGCTCTGGGAGGTAGGCGATCAATCACATTCACTACTCTCCCTAGATGCCGATCGCGCAGGAAAATCGCTCCTCGCAGCTGCATTCTCGATCGGGCTCTAGATTAGATTGGAAGAAGATCGATCCAGGGCAGTAGATGTCTCACGCTATGACGTGTTTGGATTCCCTGGACAGCCGGGAAGAGGAGCGATCCTTGAGGGGGAAGAACAGTGGCAGCAACGCTGGGACGTTGGACGAGCTAAATTTCTCCCACATCTTCGACTACAATGCGATCGAGCAAATCGCCAATGGGCTGGAGAAGATGGTCCAGTCCTGGAGCACTGCCCAGGAGGAGCGCGCACAGGAGTATGTCCGGGTCTCGGTTTCGCTGGAAGACGATGACTCCTCCACGAAGAAAATCCCGGAAGCTCTCGACTTAAACTCGCTCAAGAACATGGACGAGTATGTGGAGGTCGCCCCGCCGCCAATGTCCGCCAGTGCTACTACCGCGACGATCAAGCCATCCTCCAAGAATTTCTCGAGGATTTCTCCGGCCGAGAAGAAGCTTTCTTCTTCCACGGCGAAAGCTTCCAGCTGGGAGAAGGAAAAATCCGACTTTGTTCCTCTATCTGAGAGGAAGGTTTCGCCACAGCCACCAAAGGCCGCGCCTTCTCCAGGACAGAGGTTTGGAGCTGGGATCACGAACAGGATCTCTGGCGGCTTCCAAAAGCCTGCCTCGCCATTCGAGAAGGAGATTAGCAGCGCTAGACCGGACTTTCTAAGCTCCATTCGCGGCGTGAACAAGCAAAAGGTGGTGGAACAGGAAAATGGTCGATATACTCCGAGGAAGAGCTCCCCCGAGGTGGCAACTTCTACAGCCAGTTCTCCGACCAGGCCTGAAGCTGGCCCGAGGAGGAACTTCCAGTGCCAGCTTCACAGGGATGCGAGCAATTCTCCTAACAGGGTTGAAATGAGCCCGAAGAGGAACTTCCCGAGCCAACTTCACAGGGAAGTAAGCACTGCAAGCAGCTCTCCAAATCGGTCTGAAGTGAGCCCGAGGAGGAACTTCCCGAGGCAGTTTCAGAGGGAAGTAAGCACTGCAAGCAGTTCTCCAAACCGGTCTGAAGTGAGCCCGAGGAGGAACTTCGCGAGCCAACTTCACAGGGAAGCAAGCACTGCAAGGAGTTCTCCAAGCCGGTGTGAAGTGAGGGACTTCCCGAGCCCGCTTCACAGGGAAGTGAGCACTGGGAGTATTTCTCCAAACAGGTCTGAAGTTATAAGCCCGAGGAGGAACTTCCCGTGTCAACTTCACAGGGAAGTGAGCCCGAGGAGGAACTTGTCGTGCCAAGTTCACGGTAGAGAACCGAGTCCTCCAAAAGGAGTCCCTCTGGAATCCAGTTTTGCGAGCTATGCGCAGCAGCACCAGAACGTAGACACTACTCCGAAGAGCTTCGTCAGTCTTAGCCCCGAGAGGAGCTTCGTCCAACCGAGCAATGGTTTCGAGACTTACAGTGACGCGGTGGAGATGCAAAGGGTGTACATCGATGTGGCTACAAACTTGGAGAGAGCTTTCTCTCAAAAAGAATGTAGTGCCAGGGACGCGAATGCTGGTGACAATTCTGCGACAACGACGAAGCTTTTCCAAGATTGTAGCACGGTAACATCTAGTCCAGCGCAGAAGAATGAAACGAGTAGGGAGTCTCTGGAACTTCAAAACTCGTCGACACTTCTCTCGACACGGCAGAGCGTCCCCGAGGAGAGGAGCAGTAGAAACACCATCAACTTGAACGAGTCCGAGAGATTTACGATTGAAGACGTTCCTGAGTTCCAAGGGGATTGCAGTGGAAAGTATTCGGCAAGAAGCAGTCCTACAAAGCAGGATGCCGAGCCGGAGCAACCACAGCATTGCAAGGAAGAACAAGCCGACGATACTTTCATCACCTCCTCGAGTTACTGGCGTGTTGAGCCCGAGGCTCTGAACGCCGAGGTGGGACAAAGAGATGAAACCAGCGAGAAACAGCAGCCAAGGTCGCAAGAGTGCTCATATGTGAACGAGGCGTTGTACGAAAAGGCCGACTTCACAGCTGAGAGACCTTTGAAAAGAAAAAAGGAGACTTTGGAGGTGGTGCGAAATGCCGCAGGATACGAGTCCGAGTTTGAGATGCATGAGTCTGCCGATTTCCCGTTCTTGATGGACAATGGCCACCCCGCTATAAGTGAAACCATTTTCATCGGTAAGACGTCGAAGCTCTCTTTTTTTTCGTTTCCGCTAACAAACTCTTGTGTTTTACAACAGCCGAGGATTGTTTTGAGCCTGTGCCGACCAGACAATTCCCCACATTTGTTAACGTCCCGGCACCGATTGAGCTGGTATCTTCTATTCTTCCTGACGACCTTGTGTTTCGCAATTATATCTCACTCGCAGGATTTTGACGAATCGAAAGAAGCGTACAAGAGCAAAGTCGAGGAGCTTCAAATCGCTTTGCTAGAGTGTGCTGCAGAGTACGAAGTAAAGGTATGATTTTGTTTACCATATCTTTGTGCTGATTGTGAGGCCACAGATGGTTGAAATGGAAATGAAAATGCTGCAAATGAAGTCCAAGTGCCAGGGCCTGGAACAAGAGTTACCGCAGTCTACAGGAAAGTCGGAGAAGGTATTCCAGTTGGCTTACGCACACGAGGCACTGACAAGGATTGAAAAGATCTCTGGACAGGAATGGACTACGAAACGGCTAGAAAACTACCGGAAGCAAAATCTTAAGCTGCAGCGGGAGAAGGAAATCATGTCCAGGGACATGGTGGAGCTCAGAAAAAAGGAAAGGTTTGGAACTTCGATCGTCACTTAGCTATCGACTGAGAACATACATTTTGCAGGCAACTGGATTTGTTACGGAAGAACTTGGAGGATTCATTGCAGAAAGTGAACTCTCTTCAAAGGTGATCATATCTTCATTGCGGTCGTAATTGTTTCTCCTCAACATACATTTGTGTGTCCATGACAGGGAGCTCGTGAAGAAGGAAGAGGAACTCGTTGATAGCCAGCTCAAAGAGAAGGAAGCCAGGGCCCATGTTTATCAAGTGGAGGCCACTTTGCAGCAAGCTGAAGCGTCGCAGATCGACCAGGGCTGTGTTGTGAGCTTGGTCATGGCGCTCAACCAGTGGTTGCAAAACGTGAAAAAGGTATGGTGATTCGTTCTCGTTTTTCTTTGAAGAACTTGATTTTTGGTTTCTCCAGCAGGCAGGCCTTGTCAAGTTTGATCCTCGGCATCAGCTCCAGGTATGGATTTTCCTATACTATGCAGCAACTTATCTCTAAATCCCTATAGATCCAACAATACGAAGACAGCCTCGCGAAGCTTTTGGACGAATACATTCCTCCAAAGGCGATACAGAACCTGATGACGAGGTCCAATCCCTCCCACGAAATTCAAAACGCTGGTGGCGATTTCAAGGGGAATTTCTACCTGGAAGATGCTCCAGTAGCAATTCCCCCATCGCCACCACTGCCACCGCCGCCACAGCAGGATTGTAGCAGCGTTTCTCCTCTTCGAGACAACAAGCGAGACAAAGAAGTCCAAGCTTTGCAAAACGAGCTCGAGAAACTGGCTTGCCGAAGAGCCACATTTTAAATGCAAAAGCGCGGGAGATGAGATCCCAGCCGTTGAACAGCAACGCATCTCCCCCGTCCGTTGAGCAAAAGAGATCTCGCCCGTCCGTTTGCCAAGAAGAAACCCTAGGTGGAGATCCCAAACGGCAATGGAAGAACCCTAAAGAGATGGGGAATCCACCCAAGAAGGACATCGCCAAGCAGCAAAATCAATCGCCGGAGAAGCCGCTGCCCAAGGAGCTGTCCCTGGATCGCAAATGCGAGGCTTGCTGCGAGATCACGCTCAAGCGCATTGTCTACTCAGGCTTCGGCGGCCTCCTCGCGTCGCTCGTCTTGTTCAGATCTCCCAGCTCCAGATGGTCGGCCATGGCTTTCTCGCTGGGATTGGGCGCCGGATCCGCCTACACGGATTGTTCTTACATGATGAACGGGATTCCAAAGTGGCCGCTGCCTCCACAACTAAAAAAGTAGAAGGTTTTTTTTTTGGATCCCTCTTTTGAGCATCTCCTTGTGAATTGGATTGTTTCCCAGAGAATTTTTCTTCTTTGCTCTCTTACCCGATCGATCCATCAATAGGTCGCGTGAGGATCCCAGCGATCCATCAGCTGGAGAGTAGGATCGAGCAATGCAGGTCATCCCAGGCATTCCACCAGCAGCTGCTCGAGAGCGATCGCTGGCGCCGCGATCGCTACCTCGCCAATCTCCTGTTGACAAGGTATGGGCGATCAGGCAGCGCAGCCGGCGCGCGCGAGATCTTCGATGCGATGGCGTGCCGCAATGTCTTCTCCTGGAACGCTCTGCTCGCGGCGTATGCCCGGAATGGGCATATTGCCGCGGCCAGGGCGATCTTTGCGCTCTTCCCTGCGCACGATGTGGTGTCCTGGAACACGCTGCTGGAGGTTCTTCCGTGCGATAGCGCAAGGGATTTCTTCTTGGCGATGCCCCAGAGGGACGAGATCTCCTGGAACACAATGTGCTCTTCGCTTGGAGATTTGGGCATCTCTTTGGTCTTCTTCCAGCTCGCGCCTTGGCACAGCGCCCGGGCAGCCACCGCCTTGATCACGCTCCTCGCTGAGAGCGGTCAGTTCGATCGAGCGAAATGCTGCTTCGATTCTATGCCGCAGCGCGACGAGATCGCCTGGGCGAGCATGATCCACGCGCTATCTCTCGCTGGAGATCTGGATCTTGTGACCCTGATGTTCGCTAGAGTTCCTCAAAGAAGCTCTTTTTCTTGGAACACGATGATTAAAATCCACGGCCAATGCGGCCGGCTGGAGGACGCAGTCACGCTTTTCGATCAAATGCCCGAGCCAACAGCGGCCTCCTGGACGATCTTGATCGCGGCCCACGCGCAGCGCAAGCAGCTGGATCGATCCAGGTCGCTCTTCGACGGTATGCCTTCCAAAAACATCGCGGCGTGGACGGCTCTACTCGACGGCTGCTCGATCGCCGGGCTTCTCGATCATGCGGCGGCTGTCTACGCGAAGATGCCGCAACATGACCAGATTTCAATGAGCGCGCACCTCACGGCACACGCTAGGTCGGGATGTCTAGATCGAGCGCGAGAAATCCACGAATCCATACCCGAGCCCTGCATTTCCGCGATGAATGCTCTCATCCAGGCGCACGCCCAAGCCGGTCGGCTCCAGTGCGCGCTCTCGCTGCTCCAATCGCTGATCCTGGAGGGATCCATGCCCAACGAGCGGACCTACATTGGAATCCTTGCGGGCTACTGCTACTCCGGGAAGATTGACACTGGCCGCGACTGCTTCATCTCAATGATATCGGATCACGGGATCTCACCCTGCGAAGATCACTACGCGTGTATGATCCATCTCATGGGTCGCGCCAATCGGCAGGGAGACGCCCAGGAACTGATCGAGAAAATGCCCTTTCGCGCGAGCGAGATCGAATGGACATCGCTTCTGGATTGGTCGCATATCCATTCTTCGCTGGGTATATTTAAATTTGAATTTTCGCGCTATTCTCTACTGAGTTGAAGATTAGGGCCATTCGCTCTTGCGATGCGTCCGACCAGATCGTTCAGTACCGTAGCGATCGCCAATGTTTCATCCTCCAGGGAAAGCACCGAGATCATCACAGCGATGCTAGAGCAGCAGCTGCGCGAGCAAGAGACCGAGGACGTCTACTTCTTCGATCGCCTCCTCAAATCGTGCGGGGAGCCCAAGGATTTAGCCAATCTCAAGCACGCCCACAAGCGGCTAGACGATAGCGAGCACCGATCCAATCGCTACCTCCTCAATCTCCTGGTAGTGATGTACCGCAAGTGTGGGGGCGTCCAAGAAGCCCGGGAGGTCTTCGCCGCCATCGCAAACCCTAACATCTACTCATGGAACATCATCCTCGCCGGCTATGCCAGGGACGGGAATCTCGACGACGCGCGGCGGATCTTCGACTCGATACCCAACCGGGACCTTGTGACGTGGACAACTATGATTCGCGCATATGCCCAGAACGGGGATCTGGAGGGATCCCAGCGCACATTCCACAAGATGCCCGAGCGCGACGTGGTCTCCTGGACGGCCATGGTGAACGCCTACTTCCAGCACGGACGGCTGGATGACGCCAAATCCACGTTCAAGGAGGCGCCACGCCGCGATGCGGTGACGTGGACGGTCATGTGCCGCGCGTTCGCGGAGCACGGCTACCTCCGTGAGACGCGCCACATGTTCGACATCATGCCGTTGAGGAGCCTGCTGACGTGGACGGCCATGATCGTCGCCTACGGCAAGTCCGGCCAGCTGGACGAGGCGCGGAGCATATTCGACCGGATGCCACAGCAAAATGTGGTATCGTGGAACTCGATGATCGCCACGTACGCGCACGCTGGCCGTCCGCACCGGGCGGTGGAGATCTTCCAGCTCATGCCCCAGCCCAATGACGTGTCGTGGATCGGCGTGCTCATAGCGTATACGGAAGCCGGCATGGCCATGGCCGCTCGAGATTGGTTCTTGCGGATGCCGTACCGGGACGTTAACTCCTGGGCCGCGATGCTCCAGGCATATGCCCACAATGGGCATATGGACCACGCTAGGGCAATGTTTGAAAAACTCCCGCGCGAGTGCCTGGTATATGCGAATATCATGATCCAGGGGTATGCCCGGTCCGGGCATATCGCCCCTGCAAGGGTGATCTTCGAGAGAATGCCCAGGAAGGATGCGCATTCTTGGCATTCGATGCTAGCGGCGTGCTTGATCTGCGAGGGTGCGGCCGCCGCGCGCAAGATCTTCGATTCGATGCCGGAGAGGAGCCTCGTGTCGTGGAACGCGATGCTCGGGGGCTATGGCAGGCAGGGGATGGGCGACGAGTTCGTGGCGTTCTTCCAAGAGATGAATCTCACCGGGGAGGCGCCGAATGATGTGAGCTTCGTGTGCTACCTTGACGGCTGCCTCGAATCGAAGCTCCTGCGCGAGGCGTGGCTGGGGTTCCTGGCGATGGTGGGCGATTTTTTCGTCGCGCCGCTGGTGGAGCACTACCACGCCATGATCGAGCTCCTGGTCGTCAAACGGCAGCTCCACAACGCCGAGGCGCTGGTGGATTGCATGCCCTACTGCTCGACGCACCGGACGTGGGAGATCATCCTCCGCGGCGCCAAGAAATTCGGCGACTCGGCGATGCGCGCGCACGCAACAAGGAAGATCAAAAACCTCCGCCAGGCGAAGCTGACGTGGAGATACTACTGAGGCTAAGAATATGCTTTAGGGTTACTTGATTTTCCTTTGGCGTAGGCTTACCACTTAACGACGGATTAATTAGAGAACGAAGAGAATGGATTTGTCGCTGTGGAGGCGGCTATTTGGCGGAGGGGCGGCTCCTCCGCCAATGTCCGGCGGCAGTGGTGGCGATTCCCCCATGCTCTGGGCGGCGCATCCCTCCCACCTGAGCGGAGCTCCGCGGCGCATTGCGATCTTCACCATCGGCAGCCTGGCCAGGATCGCCGTGACACTGCTCAATTCGTCTCACGTCCACAACGCGGACACTCTGCTCCATCTCGTCACCGCCAGGCCGCCCGGCACGCCGCTCATCACCGTCAGCAATCACACATCGACGTAAGATCTCTCGATCTCTCGCTAGGGTTTGGAAATTTCTTGCCGGCATTCTTGCTTCCTGCGGAAGAAATGGATCGATCGAGTGACCTCTTGTTTCTTTTCCCAGCTTGGACGATCCGCTAATGTGGGCGTTCAAGGGATTTCCCGTCACCAACGCTCGCCTCTCGCGATGGATTCTCGCCGCCGAGGACATTTGCTTCACGAATCCACTCTTTTCCTATTTCTTTCGCGTCGGTAGGTATGTGCTCCGATCGATCGATCGAGCTTTCGCGTGCTTCGTACCAAATTCTTTCCCTTTCGCTTCTTCCAGGGAAGTGCATTCCAATCAGGCGAGGAGCTGGAATCTATCAGCCCTTCATGGACGAGGCACTGGACAGAATCAACGAGGGAGAATGGGTAAGAAGTTCTTCGCTACACTCGAGAGTTTTCTCATAGAATCGAAAGTTCTTCGCATAGAAACTTACATTTCTTTTCCAGATGCATACGTTTCCAGAAGGCAAAGTCTGCCAAGAGCACGGACCACTGAGACGATTTAAGTGGGGGGTCGGATCTCTCGTCGCTCGCGCTGCTGTTCCTCCAATCGTGCTGCCGATCGGTCACACTGGATTCGACCAGGCAAGTCGTGTGTTCTTCGCGTTCTCGTTGAGCCTGACGAGAGCGCACAGGTAATGCCCGAGAAGTACATGTTTGGGAGGAGACCGCTGCTCCCTCTGGCCGGGAAGAAGATCACCATCGTCGTCGGCGAGCCGATGGAGTTCGACATGGCCAGCTTGCGAGACACGGCGATGAAGTTCAGTGCTAGCAGTCCATCGCCATTCCCGCTGAGCTGCAACGCTTTCAAGATGGATCTGGCCGCGAGGAGGCCTGGACCCAAGCACCTGGTAGCTCTCGACGACAATTCTCTGGGCTGGCTCTACTCGCACATCACGCAGCAGATTCAAGCGGCCGTGGAGGAGCTAAGATGGCAAGCGCTGGGGAAAAATCGTCAAAGCTCGTGAGCGTGAGAGGTACTCTTATGTTACCAATTAGAACTTTGGAGGTTTCCTGAATCCTTGAGCTCGTATGGCGTCGAATCTGTTCTGGGACACTGGAGTTTGCCTGTTGATTGGATTTTTTGGAGTGGGTTTCTCTGGAGGTTTGTGGTGGTTCTCGGCTTTGCGTTTCTTGCTTGCAGGCTGCTGTTGGTTCTCTTCTTTCGTGTTTCCAGCGCTGGTTGAGCTCTCGGCTTTGGTTCTCTCGTCACTGTCCTTGCTGTGGATTCACATAGTTTTAGGCAGAGGTTTTAGGATCATCTCACTCAAACACGTACGTTTCTTTGTCAGCTTGTTGCTCGTCACTAGAACTTGCGGCCTTTGGAAACCTTCTCGCCTGGATATCTTCATGGATTTTCTACACAAAGCTCCAGAGTTACATAGCTTGATCGGCGAAGAAACAAACACGTTTGCTTACATCGATGCTTGGGTTGTAGTTCTGGAAAGACATGCGCCCGAGCGAAGCAGCGGGCTTTGGATCCCCTTCCATGATCACGACGCTGGAAGAGATGGAAGAACAACGAAGAGAGGTTAGAATTGGGATGGAGGAACCTCCTCGATGAATACCTCTGTGTTGGAAGTATTCATGGGAATGAGAAGAAGAAATGCATGGAAGCTTTTGTTTGTACCATCTGCGGCTGGACGGCGCTGTGGATGATACCCAGTGATCGTCATCCCCTTTGTCCTCCTCTCCCTTCTTGGCGGCATCGCGGCCGCGTTGCATGAACTGGGGCAAGCGATCGCGCTTACGCTCGTTAGAATCACGAGAGGATGGAGATCGCGCTCACCTTCATTGCTTGCAATCCGGAAGAGAAGCGCTTCGCCATGGCGATCGAGCGGGATCGGTCGCGGCGCCACGAAAATAAAGGAAGCCCTAAACCCAAATCGCCAGGATGAATGGCTTCTAGGGGCCGGGGCCGGGGCCGTGGCCGCGGACGCGCCGCCCCGATCGTCAAGAAGGAGCTGGACGATGGCGCCAGTGGATTGGATGCGCCAGTGCCAGCTCCAGCGGCGCCATCGCCGGCGACGAAGGTATGAATGTCGCTGTGGATCAAATGATGATAATGAAGAGGGAAGTTTTTTGTGTAGAAATTTGAGCCCAAGGTTGCTCCCCGGAGACCGAAGAAAACCGAAGTTAAAAGGCATTTTCTTTTTCTTTTTTTCGTTTCTCCTTGCTAGGATCTTACTGAAGTTCTATGTGTGAATTTGCCAGCGAGACTGGAGCGGTGAATGACGCTGATGCACAGAAATTGATCCAGGTATGAATCAAGACAATCCAGCTCTTGCTCACAAAGTTTCTCTGTTTGTCTTGTAGGACGCTTTTGCTTCTAAAGGACGAGGATTTCGATCGAACGAGAACAGAGGTATATCAACTTAAGATTGCTTTCCTTTGTCGTGATTTTCTTCTGGAAAGCAGTTGCCACTACCCGAGTCGCGTTTGGATCTGGCTCCGGGGCCGCTGTTGCCAAAGTTCCTGCTGGATTTGCGAAACGAAGCAGCAGTGGAGGTGGATCTGGCAGTGGAGGTGGGGGTGGGGGTGGCGGCGGCGGTGGTGGCGGTGGCGGAGGATGGCGAGGTCCGCCGGCTATCAAAACGCAAACAGGTATCAGGTTTTCGAGTTCTTGCTTCTAAGAATCTCGCGTTGTGCTTCAGGAGAAGAGAACGTTGCGAAGCCCCGGATTGGAATATTTGAAACTGTGGTAAGCAAGAAGACGTTTCTCCTTCTCTCGGCTCCCTCTCATCCAGCTTGATCGTATAGGACGACTCGAACAAGCCGATATCTCTTCCTCTGCGCCGGCCTCCCGGCGTTGGAACAGGTTGGAGCTCCGTTCGCACGTCTTTCAATCGACTCTAATCTCGAATGAACAAACCAGAGTTCTCGGACGACGAAGACGACGACGACAGAGTTTTTGAGGAGGATCTGGTTCCGCCAGCAAAGGAGCTTGGTCTGGAGGTGAGTGAAACTTCCTTTTCCAGCTTTTGATTTTTCATCCCATTTACACAGACAGAAAATGTCGAGGACAGGCTCCTGTTCCTCCAGTTGCCTTCCTTGCTACCATCCACTAGTGCCACCACGAGTCTCGACAAGTTACCGCAAGGCATGATGGGCAAGCTCCGCATCTACAAAAGCGGAGCAGTCAAGCTTCACCTTGGTGATTCCGTGATGAACGTAAGTTTTACGTTGAAGCCAAGAGCATTTCCCTTACAAGCTTTCCACTTTGAAGCAACAGGTCTACCCGGGAACTCGCTGTGTCTTCTCGCAAGAACTGGTCGCGATCGACTCGAACAACAAGAAGTGCGCGTTCCTGGGCGATGTAGGACAGAGGCTCGTAGTCACGCCAGACATTGACGGGATTCTAAATGGATCCAGCTGAGGGCTCTCATCCTTCTCTATAGCTTTTTTTTCGTATTGAGCCTGAGAGAAAAGGAATTTGACGAATCTTTCCTTGTATATAAGTCTTTTGATCTTAGTTTAGTTCAGTCACTTGATTAATTGCCAATATTGATTATAAGATCCTGTTATATGACATGGTGCTGAGCCAATTGCCGTTTTGCTTTAAGTTAATTCTTTATAGTATTCCTGGATGGAACACAACAGAAATCACACACCATGTCTGGTATTGTAGCTCACCATGCACTTCTAAATCGCCCAATGTACTCTATGCAAGGTAGGCTTCGATTGACCTTGATTTTGAAGAAGCTGTAGAGCCTCTCAGCAAGGTAAATATGGCAAGCTTTCGTAGTTCATCACCAGGTTGATTTGGCATTGTCATTGTGAGGACATGTAACTACGCTGTGAATCAGCCAGAGTTTGCATCAGTAATGTCCAATTTGGCAAGCAGGATTCAACTAGCCGAACAGGGGAATGCATTGGCTCTAGCGAACTCCTTTAGAATTGAGCTAAATAAATGGCTCACATCTTCTCTTTGTTTCTTTGCTTTAAGTTTTTCTAATTAGGTAGTTGCCATCCATTTTAGGTTTTTCTTCAAGCTTTTTTGACAAAGCAGTGAGTGAAAGTTCAGCTAAGGTAGCAATTAAATTTTTTTTCTTGTTTTTTTTGCAATGGTAATCCATTTTGGCTTGGTCTTTTTGCAGCTGAACAATAAATGGAAAGTCGAACATTCAAGTAAACCAGTTACCAATGTTTTTTCTTTATTTCTTTGTAGTGATAATTCATTTTAGTTTAGGCTTTTCCAGGATATGGGATTAATAAGTGAGTGAAAGTCAAGTAAAACATGCCAAAGATGTGGTTAATATTCTTTTTGTTTCTTTACACCAACCATTGCAAAGGTGAGTTGATCTTGTTTACAGACTCGCCACAGTTGTGGAACAGCTCAACTACAAGAACATACCAATGACACTCTCAAGTCTCCAAGTTCATGTAAAGAAAGTTATATATAGGTGTTGCTAATTGTAAAGGAGCTAGAACTAATGGAGGCAATTGGGATCAAAAAATGTGTTATTGTAGACCTCCACAATATTGATATCAATATCAATAGCAAGGCTGGGCTATTTCTTTCTAAAGATGATGAGGACAAGTTGCAAAAGTTTAATTTTAGTCACTTCCTCTAGAGAATAGAGTAAAGTATTTGATAATGATCAATTGGATGTGTTTAGCATTAAAGATAAAGTTACTAAAGAAATTGCAATATGCACTAATTTCACTTCCATCCCATGACTAATTTTTATTTTTAATATTAATAATAATTAGGTAAACTTATGTTTTCAATTTACTCTATTTGATTGATTAGGTGCTCTCGCACATTAGAGCTAATGTTATATTACATTTCACTCTCACTATATTATGTTTTGATTTGTAATATAATAAATTTAATCTTACAGTTATACCCAAAGGCTAATTATCATATTAAATTTAAGTTATAAAATGTTATTTTTCCAATTTATTTATTTATTTATTTATTCAAAAAGTATAGTTCAAAAAGGACTTTTATCCCCTTACATTATAAACATGTGCATTAATCAGAATTTTCACTTAGCCATTATAGTAATTATAAATTTTTATGGATTTATATTTTCTAATTAATTTAAAATTTTTAAACTTTTATTAAATAGTTCAAGGTATTTAATAATGATCAATAGAATGCACTTAGATATTAAATACAAAATTACCAAAAAGGTTACAATATGCAAGTTGAACACTAGTATTGTTATTTGATTGGGTTTTTATAGGTTGATCAATTCAAAAAGTTTTCACGGGATTTAATTAATTTTACTTCTCCATTCACAATTAATATAATATACTTTTAGTTTATTATAATTTAGCTTTAATGGCAAATTTTAATTTTTTTAATTGTTAACAACAACTATGTTGTAGAAACAGCAAAGTAAATTCATTTTTGCAATCTAAGTTATTTAATTGATTGACCACTTTTTTGTAAACTTATTGTACCACTTCACATCTTATGAGTAGTGTCGTATGACATTCTATTTTTACAATATCGTACTTGGATTTGCAATTACAATTTTGCTACAACGCTAATTATCATGCTAATAAAATATTAAAAAAATTTAATAACATTTTCAACTTAAAATTGTGATAGGTAACGAAATTTATTTTTTAGTAATTTATTTATTTTAAGTTTTATCAAAAAATATAGTATAATTAATGGAGGACTTATCTTAAAATAATGTCAAGATTGGAATTTTCATTTTGTCATTAAATTAATTATAAATTTTTATAGCTTTTGATTTTTATTTTCAATTTTTTAAAATTGTATTAAAGTGTTTAAGACCTTTAACTTTTTCTATTCAATATAATATATAATGCTAAAATACTAACAATAGGATAGTAATAATACTCCCACTTTACCTAACCCTAAAATAGACATACATATATAATCATATTTTATATTTATAGCTGATATTTTTTAATTTTCTTATAATTTTTATAATTTTTGAAATTTTATCAGTAGAGAATTGGTACAAGTGCTGAACTATCAATTAATATCTAAGAACATTACGTTTTTTACAAAATAATGAATGAAAGTCAAGTTAAAGCAATAGCTAACTGTTTCCTCCTTATTTCTTTGCAACAATAATTTATTTTAGCTTGAGTTTTTTTTAATTGAGTGGTGAGTGAAAAATCAAGCACTTAAGCAAACCAGTTGTTGATGTTTTCTCTTTGTGTCTTTATAACAGTAATTTAGTTTAGTTTATGCTTTTCTAGGATATAGAACTAAATGATGGATGAAAATCGAGCAAAGCAGGCCAATAATGCCGTTAATGTTCTCTTTGGTTTTTTGCACCAATCATTATAAAAGTTAATAATACATTTTAGTTATTTTACACTATATATTAAAAATTTTTATCAAGTATCTTTTTAAAAGTAGCTAACCTAAAAGATAATTGTTTTCTTATAAAGAATTTAAGTAGTGTGAACCTAATTTTGAAAGAATTAGTAACATATGATAAATGTTACACATTAAGCTTTATGTGCTTGTGGTTTACAATTAAGATATGGCTCCAACTATGGCAAATTCCACTTCTTTATTATTTTAGATATTTAGTTGTTAGTTATTAATGTTAAATATAAATTTTTAAAAGAGTTAAAAACTTTTTCACACCTAAAGAGTGCTCCATATCTTTTATATAAAACATTTTAATTTATTAAATACTATTCTTTCAAAGAAATTATATTATAAAACATTTCTTTATATTTAAATTTCATAAGTATTATTTAATTAAAATTAAAAATTATATTTTCAAATAAATTAATTTATAATTAGGCTATTATACATGTCTTTATTAGAAAAGTCTTATTAGAAAAGTCTTATTAGAACATAAATATAATTATTAAATTTTTTTTTTGTATTAATATTTAAGATTACAATAAAAGTGAATTATTCTCTAGTTTCTCTCAATGAAAAAATATAAATGTT